GATTGTGGGGGCAGGGTCTCAAGGTCCCATCCTCCCCTCTCCCTAGGATTTACAAGCAACTATTTTTCTTCAAGGGTACAGCCTTATGTTGCCTTATGCTTTTATAAGGACACCCTGTTACTAAGCTACACTGGGTGGCCACACCTCGATTCCTGTCCTCGAGTCCCACAGCTGAGTAGGTATTGGGTCACATCTTACCTACTCATGTTTACCTATAATTTAAGTCACAAGGGCAAACCCTTAGTCCTTGTAGATGGCACTTCCCAATGTAAGCATCTAATGCTAATATATGGTACTAAAGTCATCTCAGTCCTCCTCACAGGTAGTTTGAAAAGCTTACCTCCTGACATTGCCCACGATGCCCCTGGTGTCTGTTCTCGGGTGTCAGAGGCAGCAATGTACCTCTTTTCTGAGAAGTGTGTGACCCAATCTTTTAGGATAACCACGAAGAAGAGAGTATCCATTTGACAAACAGCAGAGAACCAAATACTCAGACACCGGTTTGTAATGTATTATTTATTTGTCCTTTTTCCTGTCTTCGGGAACCATGAAAAGGGAGGAAATGTGGGTTTCAGGGCAGTGGCAACCTAGCTGGCCTCACTCACGCTCTCCTCTCCCCACCTGATACTAGCAGATGGTGTAGACAGCCAATCAACACAGAGGACAAGGGGAAATGGGCCAGGCACTGCAAATGAAGACGAAGACTTCAATTCTGCCTCCCAGGAAAAAAATGAAGCTGAATGAAACCTACTCTGGGGTGGTTTTTGTGGATCCTGTGGGCAGAATGAGTTGCTGAGGATGGAATGGAAGAACAGCCACGGGAAGAACAGCATTTCCAGAGACCTGTGGGTTTCTCTTGCTCTCTTAACTCACGTGACCTTCCTCTCCTTACCGGGCCATTACACAGCTAGTGGGGAAACGGGGCTCCAGGAAAGTTATCCCTAAAAGCAGGGTTTAATTTTAAGTAAAAGCAAGCTACTTTCCAGGGGCAATGCTGGAGAAGATAAAAAGATAAAACTTAAGGGGAAAATGTACGTATATATTTTGGGGCATATTCGTAATGTGGGTCAGGAATGGCCTCGAACTCACTAGTCACGAATGACGCTCTACTCTCAAGAGCAGGGATGCCAGGTGCCATCTATGAGCAGCAAGAGTTGAGAACTTTAAAGGCTGCTAAACCTAAGTAAAGACCGAGGGCCCCGCTGTTATGCAATACCGTCGAGGGAGCAAACTTCATGACTCACTTCCGTATTGCACAAATTACTTCATTTTATAGAAACGTGAACACGGCTGGTATTCAGATCATAAATACGTACTATCTATTTGCTCAGAAGACTATCGCTCTTAAATTACTAGCACCTGTCAAGGTCCCTACGTTCTCGTCTTCTCCAAGTAGCTCAACCTTTCTAAATATGGCCAGCGAGGCAACTTCTTGCGCATAGCTCGAAACACCTCTCCTAACACTCCTCCCTGGGTTGGGCAAAGTTAATTCCAGAGTAGCCTCCCCCGCACATCTCCGCTTCTCCTGCCCACTGTGATGCAACCCAGCCACTGGGTCCCCTCTGGCTCCCACATGGCCTCAAGCTCGGGACGCGTCCCCACCCAGCACCCCGTCGGTCCCGCGACTACACAGCTCTCCGGATTACTCGCTTTTCACCGACTTTATTGGCTGCGGGCTGCGGTGGGCTCTGCACCCGTCGGGTTCACTTGCTCTTCACCTTCTGGCTCTCCGTCTTCTTGGGCAACAGCACCGCCTGGATGTTGGGCAGGACGCCGCCCTGCGCGATGGTCACGCGGCCCAGCAGCTTGTTGAGCTCCTCGTCGTTGCGGATGGCCAGCTGCAGGTGGCGCGGGATGATGCGCGTCTTCTTGTTGTCGCGCGCCGCGTTGCCCGCCAGCTCCAGGATCTCGGCCGTCAGGTACTCCAGCACCGCCGCCAGGTAGACCGGCGCGCCCGCGCCCACGCGCTCCGCGTAGTTGCCCTTGCGCAGCAGCCGGTGAACGCGGCCCACGGGGAACTGCAGGCCCGCGCGCGACGAACGCGACTTGGCTTTGGCGCGCACCTTGCCGCCCTGCTTGCCTCGCCCCGACATGCTCGACCCCGCGCCCCGAGCTCCAAACACCGGCCGGCTCAGTTCCGGGACGCCGTGCGCCACTCCGGAACTACCTCGCCGAACTCTGCAGCCGCTGCCGCCTGTGACGGGCAAGGGCCGCTCCCAATCAGCTCGCCCGAGCAGAGCGCCCGCCTTCCCAGATGCGGCCCAATCAAAAGAGTAAATTCCTAGTCCTAATTTACATAGTTAACAGGTTTTTTTTTTTTTTTTTTTTTTTTCCCCAGTCCGATTGGAATTGACTGCAGGAAAGGGAGGAAAATGGATGATTCCTGTCTGAAATCCCAGCACTAGGGTAGCCGAGGCAGGAGGATTGCCAGAAGCTTGAGGTCAGCCTTAGCTATTCTGAGATCCAGATCGGCCTGATAGGAAGGGAGGGAGAGCAGGAAGGAAAAAAGAGGAATTTAGGAAAGCCTTGCATTTGGTACACGGCTATAATCCAGAAATTGGAGATGGAGGTCGTCGACCAGTGTTCCACCAAGACTGTAGAATACTCTAAACTAGACCCAGCGCTGGAGGAAGACTGCTTTGACTTGTTCTTATATATTCAAATTTTAGGCCGTGGCATTTGAAATAAAATAAGGTGTTTTTTATTTAATTAATAATTATTTAATTGCCTTCCACTGATGCACTGAGGTAGTTCAATTTACCACATTTTTTAAAAGTTACACAACTGATATAATGTCAAACGTTAAGTAAAATGCCGTTGAACTAAAAGATCACAAATTTAACCTCTTCCTATTCTAATTACGATTTGATTTCACTGAAATAAAGTTAACAGTGAAGTGGGGGCGCTGCTTGTGATCTTAATATTGAGGAGGTACAAACAGGAGCAGCAGTTCAACGTCATCGTTAGCTACAGAGGATCCGGTCCCAAACACAAAACACAAGCATACACACACACACACACACACACACACACACACACGAGGAAAAGCGGTGCTTACATGTATTTATGCATGTCTTTATGGCCTAGCACACTGATGAATAAACAGTAGCTGGGGTCTCAAATACACCTATTTAAATCTGAGCAATGTATGTATTGCCACCATAAACGTGATCGGTCATCACGGAGCCAGACAGCTTCCTCAGAGTTCTGCCTTTAGCGCCTATCAGCTGACTTTGATACACTATTTAATGTCCGTGAGCAGGTTACACACACACACACACGCGCACACACACACACACACACACACACACACACGTCCTGTTGTATATACATATATAAATATACAGTATATATTTATGTATATACTGAGTCAATGCCTATGGAAGCCTCTGGTGCTGTTTTGGCAAGAAAGTACTAGAATGACTTCTGTAAACCAGCTTAAATTTGTGCTTACATCATAGAAAAGTCCTTTCCTTTCTTTTTCTTTTTTGGAGACATGGTTTAGCAGCGTTTGAAAATGTATTCTAGATACAGCTTTGCCTTATTTATGTAAGGCTTTTCCAAAGAGTTAAGGATTTAAAATCATGACTGTCCTGGAACTCGCTCTGTAGACCAGGCTGGCCTCAAGCTCACAGAGATCTGCCTGCTTCTGCCTCCTGAGTGCTGGGATTAAAGACATGCACCACCACTGCCCTGCATGCTCAATCTTTAACAGATAGAACAACAACAAATACTGTTAGAGTTATAAGGATCGCTGAAGATTTAAAAGCATTTACAAGTATAAAACTTTAGGAAACAGTTTTCCTGCTGGGAAGCTGATCTTCAAGACTGCAGACCAGCAACAATTTACTAAAATGCTCAGTCCTCAACAAGCTCGTTAAACACCTGGGAAAGTGTGGTGACCCCCCACCCCCACCCCCCTTAAATCCTGCGGTCTTCTCAACACAGTAAACTTCAGGGCAGTCCTGTCTTAAAAACAGTAATACCACGTGAGCGGTGGTGGCACACACCTTCCATCCGAGCACTCTGGAGGCAGAGACTGTCATTTGGTCTACAGGGTGAGTTCCCGGACTGTCGGGGCTGTTCAAACAGAGAAACCCTGTTTCAGAAAGGGAAAACAAACAAACAAACAAAAAACCCACACCACCAAAAGAGCCCATTTCTGGTTTGGGGATTTGCAATAAAAAAAAAATCTATTCAAAGTCAGGTTTCTAACAAGTGTAACTTTACAAGACCTCTGGATAGAGAGGGGTGAAATGTAGTTGAGTCTGTCCAGCTCAGGTTGGCCTCCAGCTTGTGGCAATCCTCCTGCCTCACCCTCCACACTGCTGTGATTACAAGTGTGAGTCACTGCACCTGGCGAGAACTTGTTAAGTTTTAAATGCAAGCTATGAGATGCAAGCTTATCGAAGTGGCACGTTACAGTTGCTGAGCTAAGTAACTATCGAAACGGACAGCTGGTTGAAAAGAAAATACTAATGTGTTTGTCCAGCAGAAGCAGAAAAACCCACACTGCAGAAAAACAATCGAATAAGAACAGGAAGTGAAGAGGGGAGTATTAGCGTGATCACAAAAGAAAATGACCATCCACTCCAAAGGCCCACGCATGAAAATGTAAACTGCTTTAACGTAAGGGCTAGTAAGCTAGATCTCTAGTGCTAGCGTCTATCCATTTCCACACTACTTTGCAATAGTCTAAGGATAAGCATTCTGCAGAGAAAATGACTCAGAAGGTGCTGAAGATAGCAAGCATGATGCGGTCTTTTTATTTGCACGAAAGAAGGGAAAAATAAAAAAAACTTATATCCTTTAAATTCTCAAATATGCTAAGGATTTTCAGATTTGAGGGGAACAAAAAGTCTTGGAGCTAAAGCAGTCAGGAGTATAGAGTCAGGGGGCGGCGCCTAGAGCTCCGCCCATTGCTTGCTGTTTTCAAACAGGTCCGCTCCCAGACAATATAAGGCTCTTGCTTGCATCCTGTAGGACAGTTTTCTCTCCTTTCAGTTCTCTTCGGTATTCTACTATGTCTGGACGTGGCAAAGGCGGCAAAGGACTCGGGAAAGGCGGCGCCAAGCGACACCGCAAGGTCCTGCGAGATAACATCCAGGGCATTACCAAGCCTGCCATCCGGCGCTTGGCTCGACGCGGCGGCGTCAAGCGCATCTCCGGGCTCATCTACGAGGAGACTCGCGGTGTCCTCAAAGTGTTCCTGGAGAATGTGATCCGGGACGCCGTCACCTACACCGAGCACGCCAAGCGCAAGACGGTCACGGCTATGGATGTGGTCTACGCTCTCAAGCGCCAGGGCCGTACTCTTTATGGCTTCGGCGGCTAAGTGCTACCACCGGCTTCAGACCTTCGGTCTCTTGCACCAACACCTCAACCCAAAGGCCCTTTTCAGGGCCCCCAAAGCATCAAGAAAGGAGCTGGGGATACTTGTATAGGGGCTGGAAGAGGGTTCTCAACCCCGGGCTAGGTTATCTCGGAGGAGGATAGTTGCTTTGATTGTAGTACATGCAAATCAGGCCGCGTGAGAGCACGTTCTCATTGGAGCAGTGGGCCATTGGCTCCGCCCGCCGATGGGCAACGTGATGCGGTATGCTTGCTGAGTGCTGTTAACCTATAGGTATAGACTATGAATTTTTTTTTTTTTTTTTTTTTTTTGCTTGTTTCTGGGTGCCAGGCCGAAAGCTGACGATGCTTGGTTCGGTCCCGCCTTGCGACCTCTAGACCTGGGAAGGGCTGATCCGTGACGTGCGCTCTCCAGAGGGAAAATATTGAAGACTCACGTCCCTTAGAATAGCGGGAAACTGAGGAGTGGGGCGGAGGCTTGGAACCGTCAAAATAAAGTGACTGTTGCGTAAACTCGGTTTTCTCAGCTGTAACTATTTACCTGCCCCTAGATGGTGTCTTTTGGGGCCAGGAAAGAAATCGGGGTCTATCTTTAGCTCAGTCTGGTCAGCTCCCTGAATTCCTGTACAGACACCAGAATTTAAGTCTCACTGAAGTCTCCTTTCTCAAGTCTCCAGCGGGTAGGACTTAAAGAACCCGAGCTGCTCTTAGAGACCTGTTGGTTTCTCGCACCCAGGTGGGTTAGCTCACAGTCAGCTGTAACTCCAGCTCCAGGGCGCCAAAATGCGTTTGGCTTCCTTGGGCACCTGGGCTTAGATCTGCATTCCCACTCTCTTCCGTACACAAAACTTAATTAACAGTAATTTTTTTCAATGCCTAAGTTTATTGACATTTGAAGTTCACTAGTCTTCTCGCTGGCATAGGGGTTGGGAGGCATTTCTGGGGTTCCCTCAGCAGAAACCTCGGATTTCATTAGGAACGATGTTCTGTGAAATGCTTCCTATGTGGCATGCAGGAACTTCGTGCCATTCTTCGGCAGCAGATTTACTTTAAGTATTGTTAATGAACACTTCATAGCTGTGGATGGGACGACGAAGAATAGAAACTTCGAAGCTGAATTTGAACTTGGCCCTGTGCGATTTTACACAGCTTCATCTTATGTACCCCTGTTTTTGCCAGTCAGGCTCCCCTTTCCCATTACTGACCTTTTCACTTCACATTCTGAGCATATGTAACACTGGTGTAAATTTCAGAAGCATGTTAGTCTAACGAACTCATTTCTTCAAGCAAGTGAAAAACTGAATTGCTTATTCTCTATCTTTAGAAATATTTTCAATTACAATTATTTGGTTTTATATTTTCAAATTCTTTTATTTTTACTTTTTGTCCAGTGGACTTTTTTTTCCTGAGTTTAGTGATTTTCGTTTTCTTATAAAGCTGTATGTTTTATCAAAATATTAAATACAAAAAATGTAACAAATGTTTATCACCCCCCCATTTTAACGAGTGTTTTTAATTATTTGAGAAAATATATCAAATATCTATATTACTAGCAAAGGAAAGTGAAATTTGCATTTAATGTTACACAAATAACAAAAAAAATCGCATTGGTGCAATCATTGTAGAAATGAGTTTGGGAATTTCTCAGAAAGCTTAAATTTGTACTACCATATAATCCTGTCCCACTCTTGGGTTTGTGCCTAAAAGACTCCTAGTCACCATCCCTGGCATACACAGGCCTCCATATTTATTGCTGCTTTATTCATTACAGCCAGGAAATGGAGTCAGCCAGTGTGTCCGTCACCAGATGAACGGATGAAGAAATTATGGTATGGTATGCGTACCTGAAGGGTTTTACTTGGTGATAAAAGTGAACAGGAAGATAAGTGGAACAGGAAGTCAGTATGTTAAACACAGATTCGAAAAGAAAAGCCCAGGACTTCTTCCATGTAGAGTTGACGTGTGTGTGTGTGTGTGTGTGTGTGTGTGTGTGTGTGTGTGTGTAGGTCATGAAACTAGAAAGAGGATGCAGGGGAAGGGGGTGTGAAAAACACATGCTCTGAAAGCAGAAGCCAGTTGCCTACGTGTGGGAAAGGAGAAATGAGCCAGGCTCAAGGGCAGGCAGAAAGGGAGGGCAGTTTACTATAGAACAAAGTATAGTGAATTGGGCATGAAAATTCCACAATGAGATGAATGTCGGCTATTTACACGACTTGAATGGCAGGGACAGCTTTGTGGCACCCCAGTGGCTAGGCCCTGCCCCCAGACTGTCATAATGGCCATTCCCTAAAGGCTATAAAGGCCATTCCCAGCCCTCTGAGGTGGGAGAGTGGCCAGGCCCCGCCCTACCGAAAAAATTCCCACCAATCCCCGAGCCTGCCCCAAGATCAAGCCACATAATTCCTCCAATCCCAAATCACCCTGGAAAACTAACCTCCCTCCGCCCCTCATCCCCTAGAAACCAAGAAACGCTACATAATCCTATCTTCTGCTTAGTTCTCTTGCTGTAGTGGTATATTATTTGATTTGTATTTTAATCAATAAATCTTGCCTGAAGACCAGAAGCAAAGCTAAAGCCACTAGAGGTCAGGCGGTGGTGGCACACACCTTTTAATCCCAAAATTTGGGAGACAGAGGCCGAAGGATGTCTGTGAGTTCAAGGCCACCCTGGACTACACAAGATCAATACAGAAACAAGTCCAGGTGGTGGTGCCTCACGCCTTTAATCCCAGCACTAGAGGGAATATAAAATGGGAGGAGAGAGAGGCTTAGTCTGCAGTCACTTAGCTTTGGTAGAGTCAAGACTTCTCTAGTGGCTTGATTGCTTTGCTTTTCTGGTTTTCCAGTTGGAACCCCAATTTCTGTCTCTGGGTTTTTATTATTTGTGTTACTATCTGCTGCTTCTTTCCTGGGCAGAGGCAGCCACCCTTCTGGGATTTCCCCTCCCAATCCTTCCTGTGAGATTTGCTTATCTTATTCCTCAGCTCCCAACTGCCAGGACACCTTTCCTCTGGACGCTGTAACATTTACAATGACTCAGCTGGTAAAGGCGCTTGCTGCCGAGCCTGACAACCTGAGTTTGCTTCCAGAGACCCATATATTGGAAGGAGAGACCAGACTCTGCAAAGAGTCCTCTGACTTTACACATTAAACATAGTGACACCAAATAAATAAGTCAAATAAGATATATTTCTACAAAAACATATATTTAATGCTGGGGGTGTAGTTCATGTATGTGAGGGGGCTCAGTAAAGAATCTGCCACAATGGCCGCTCCATTATTAGGTGGAAGGGTTTCATTGTGGAAAGGAAGAGGGAATATCCAGAGGCATCTGATTGGGTCCAGAGCAGAGAGAGAAAGCGGGAGACTGGACAGGCCAGGGCTAGAGAAGCAGAGTGGTGAAATAGTGAAGAGAGCAAGAGATAACGCTTATGGGCCTGAGGGCGTGGGGTGGGGACTGGACACTGAGGGAATCCAGAGACCAGTGTGGACTTTGACATGTAACCAAATAAAGAGCCACGTGCCCCTTCTTCCAGAGGCGAAGGAAACGATTCCTGTGGGGGGTATGGGGGTGCGGGGGAGGGAGTGGAAGGCCCATTTCACGCGTCCCTAAGGAATGCTGGCTTTTATCTACTGACCGTAAGTCCATCTGTAGTCTAGCTTGAGCTCATTTCTACACACGCGGCCTTCCTGAGATCTAAATGTTTGGTAAGGCACTTGTTTCACATGCACGAGGCCCAGTACAGCAAAATACTAAAAGTTTAGTCTTACAAATCCAGTTTTATACGACTGGATTTTATGAATTCATAATGAAAACGAGCAAGCCCCTGCTGTACCTCCCCCTCCCCACTGTCTACTTTGTAGAAATCGGGGAGCAACTGAGCGACAATATGTCGCATATATTTAAAAACGAATTTATTATCCCCCCCCCGATTTAGTTTTTTTCTTTGCTCCCTGAAAGGTAGGGATTGGGGGTTCTTGCATCTTTAGCCTTCTCTCTGTGGTCAGGTTTGAACTGACTGTCAAGTAAGGCGCTACCCTTTGAATAAAGTGTTGATAATACTGATATCCCATCTTTTCTAAGCAATCCAGCCACCTTTCTGTTCCTTTGGCCACTTCTTTTTTAAAAAATATATTTATTTATTTATTTATTATGTATTCAATATTCTGTCTGTGTGTATGTCTGCAGTCCAGAAGAGGGCACCAGACCTCATTACAGATGGTTGTGAGCCACCAAGTGGTTGCCGGGAATTGAACTCAGGACCTTTGGAAGAGCAGACAATGCTCTTAATCACTGAGCCATCTCTCCAGCTCCTTGGCCACTTCTTAATCCAGTTTCTCCCACCAATTTGTAGCAACCACTTCAGTGACAAGTACCCAGCATTGTGCTGAGGACATTGTCTGCTTGGTCTGACCAGCACAACAGCTTCACAGAAGACTAAAGTTGTCAATAGACTCAACACAGGACATGAAGCTAGTGGAGAAGCCTTTCTTTAAGCTCAGATTAGTCTTAATTCCCAATTCAATTAGATCCTATTGTCACAGAAGAAAAGGTGTCTTCAAAGTCATTGGTTACTGTGTTAAATTAACCAACTATCTTTTAGAATAGATAAAATTTTGTGTGACCACAGCCCTAAATTAACCCAGAACAATGCTGCATAGAAAAATAAAACACCATGATGCAAGTCACACATGTAATTTCAAATTTTTAGTACAATGTTAGAAAAGATTTTTTATTTTTATTTTATTTTTCATTTTTTAAATTTATTTATTTATTAAGGATTTCTGCCTCCTCCCCGCCACCGCCTCCCATTTCCCTCCCCCTCCCCCGATCAAGTCTCCCTCCCTCATCTGCTCTAAGAGCAATCAGAGTTCCCTGACCTGTGGGAAGCCCAAGGACCGCCCACCTCTATCCAGGTCTAGTAAGGTGAGCATCCAAACTGCTTAGGCTCCCCCAAAGCCAGTACGTGCAGTAGGATCAAAAACCCACTGCGATTGTTCTTGAGTTCTCAGTATTCTTCATTGTCCGCTATGTTCAGCAAGTCCGGGTTTATCCCATGCTTTTTCAGACCCAGGCCAGCTGGCCTTGGTGAGTTCCCGATAGAACATCCCCATTGTCTCAATGTGTGGGTGCACCCCTCGTGGTCCTGAGTTCCTTGCTCGTGCTCCCTCTCCTTCTGCTCCTGATTTGGACCTTGAGATTTCTGTCTGGTGCTCCAATGTGGGTCTCTGTCTTTGTCTCCTTTCATTGCCTGATGAAGGTTAATATTCAGAAGGATGCCTATGTGTTTGTCTTTGGATTCACCTTCTTATTTAGCTTCTCTAGGAACATGAATTATAAGCTCAATGTCCTTTATTTATGGCTAGAAACCAAATATGAGTGAGTACATCCCATGTTCCTCTTTTTGGGTCTGGCTTACCTCACTCAGGATAGTGTTTTCTATTTCCATCCATTTGAATGCAAAATTCAAGAAGTCATTGTTTTTTACTGCTGAGTAGTACTCTAATATGTATATATTCCATACTTTCTTCATCCATTCTTCCGTTGAAGGGCATCTAGGTTGTTTCCAGGTTCTGGCTATTACAAACAATGCTGCGATGAACATAGTTGAGCATATACTTTTGTTGTATGATAGGGCCTCTCTTGGGTATATTCCCAAGAGTGGTATTGCTGGATCCAGGGGTAGGTTGATCC